CAGGGATGCTAAATTGACTTTGGTGTTTACTATGCTTGCGTTCGTAATGTTTTATGGCGTTCACTGAATTGCACCTAGTGTCATATCTTTTATTAGATGTGCTTTGAAATATGTTTGTTTTGTAAAGTTATAAATTTTGAGGGAACGATAGTAGTGCAAAAAGGTCTAGTTGTGTGTCTCTTACAGACGTATGTATGCCTGATGGATTGCTTTGTTTGTTCGTTTCATTTTCCTTGTGTTGTTTTTGTGTCCACTAGACGTTGTTCGTGCCGTAACTGAAATCGCGTCTATCGGCTATGTTAATTTTTATGACGTCACAGCTTATTCACCGCGTATGCCTGCACGTAACCGCAACGCATTAGCGGCTCTTAACGAAGCGGAAATGTGCGACCAGACCGGGTTTTATTTCAACCAGTTACATACATTGACGATATCGAGTCGAAACGTTATGTTGCTAGTCGGTTTTTGTATTGATTAGCCGGAATTTATAATGACTTGTACCATTATTATCGCCGTGTAAGGCAAAAGTAGCGACTAACGCCCGTTACTTAGATTTGTTCTATGGCAATTGATTGACGTTTACACGATAACTGATTTTGATGTCAAAATCAAAATTATTTACTCCAACTAAACCATAACAGGTACTTTTGAAACGGCAAAATAGATTATAGTATGTCACTCAGTTGGTTAGTGTAGCTAGGTGCTCGTTCCATTGTGTAGAAGTCAAAGGGATGGTTCTTTAAATAACTTCGGTCAAGAAAGAATTGTTGCCTTTCAAACTGAATTCAAAAGAGAATTATTTAAATGTATCTTGCATTCAGTATCGTACGCCTCCCTTCCTCGTGGGCGGGTATGTAGATAGATCTTAATTATGCATGCAGTCAGGTCTAGAATAGCTTACCCGGAACTGCCAGGGTTGGTTTGTCACTCTGTTGGCCACGAGGGTGGCATATTATGAGATAAAATGTTCTTAGAATAGACACAGGCAGTTCATTCAGACATATTTTATCTAATAATAGAATAGCTAAATGCGTTTAATAAATTGGCTCGTAATAGAAAGACTCCAAATAATTTTCCCAACTAAATTACTAGTTTAGTTTAATTAAATTTTTGTTTACACTATTTTCTATAATTGAGGATCTGCATTCAAAATGTGTGTGACCTTTGTCATACTATAGGTTGCGTGTGTATTCCTTAATAATCGATATAAATAAATAAAAGGAGAAATGATGAAGAAAATAACAAAAAAGTAACATTAGTGCAGACTCCTCTAGTTTATAAAGGCAAGTCAGTTTCACCTTATAAAGAATATAGTAGGTTATTTTTAATCATATGCAACAAATTCCTAATTCAGTAAAAACGTGATAAGATCAGACGCGTGTTCCATAAAAGCCTCACGAGCTGAAAGATACCGTACTTGTTTCAGACTGTTATCCGAGATCGTTTCACTGCTTGCGAACCAAAAACAATCACAATTATGTGTATAACGCCATTTACTGCGGGGTGCTGATAAGCCATCGTTTTGCTGTTTTCTCCGCTGAGTAATACAATTACCATATAAACCGTTGTCCCAATTGTTATCATAGCAAGTCTGTTTTTGCCTTAGTTAATTTTAGCACGCGGTAATAGTGTGAACGCATCTTATTATGAAATTGTTAGGGCTGTGATCGTTAGGAATTTAGGTGGATTCCCACTAATACTCTCTGACCCTTTACCAATATGAATCTATACAAATTCCAAAGTTGGCTCCGAGAATTAATTCGATTCTCGTCTCGATTTCTCGGAACTTCTTTGTGGTTATTATTCCATTATTTGTAATAAAGAATTTACATTTACTTACTTGAGTTAAATTTCGAATTGATCTTCAATAGATTACGTTTGTACCGGCGCGATGACATCATCGCATCTTTATTTTTATGATATGAATTCGTTTAAACTGTAACAAAATGTATGCGGCAACCCTAAAACCGTACGTAACGTAAACACACTGAACGGGAACACTTATAACAATAACACGCGCAACTAATTTTAGACACTTACTGAATAGTTACAAAACTCTCACTTGATTTATGAAGTGTAGAAATACAAAGAAAGTTAAGCTAAGCAAACTTTAAATTTCCCTATTCCAAAAAGTATTTTAATTCGACACAAGAAAAGTCCAATTTCCTTTGAACCTATCTCCTTCTAAAGAGGAATATCGTATCTCATGACTTTACCCTTCAATGTTGGCGAAACCAATCTAGGAATCTAGTTTAGTTCAGCAACTTCGTCAAGAGTTAAATTGCAATGTCAATAGGTCCTGGAGTTGCCCCAATAGGCCTGTACGTGAATCCTAACACAAAGTTTTAAGCCTAGGAATAGCACAGAACAGTTCTTATTAAAGAATAGATGAAACTTTTTACTGGAGGTATATTTATTTATTTATATATTTATTTATTAAGAAAATTTACATATACAACATTACAGCTTACGCCATTAAGTTATATTGTTAATTTATTATTTTTATATAACATTATAATGCACTGGTAACCATACTTCTTTATTGTAGGTATTTAAAAACATGATAGAATCCGCGCGCGCGCGTGTGTGTGTGTGTGTGTGTGTGTGTGTGTGTGTGTGTGTGTGTGTGTGTTTTTTTATAATTATTTAATCCAGTATTCCAAAAAGTTATTCAAATTTATAGACTAATCCACGTCATCAAAGGGAATGTTACAGTCTGGTACTACTTGGAACCCTTCAGTTTGCCTGAGGAGGTTTACAGATTGTTTTAATTCAACTTCTGCGGTATAAAACCAGTAACCAACAGCGTTCGTCTGTTTATAACAGTAGTAAAGTTTATTGAGATGGATGCTAAGGTTTTAAGTATACATTTTTGGAACTATCGCCTGTTGTATCGTTAATTTCGTGCGTTCTATATTTATAAACATGCATGTGTCGTTCAAATTTATTGCGATGCCTTAGAAATTGGGAGAAAATGGCGTCATAAACACTAACATAACCTGACTTTATATATTTGTCTTAAACTAAGTATGCAACAGACTCTAAAATACTCTTTTCTCATACAATTTTCCATGGAAGCTCCTATAATACACACATAATGACACCGATGTCTCGTTTGCTAGTCTAAGGTTCGTTGTGCAATTCTGACGCAACGCAGGACAATCGCAACTGAACAATGGACCGAGATAATAACGCTGTTTAGATACATGAGCTTAGACCTTCACATTATAATGGACCATTTTACTTATTACACTAATTTGTTAGGCCTGCTTTTTTGCTAGTCTAGCATTTTTCCATGGTTCGATGTTTCTAGAAACTACTAATTACAAGTTTCGAGATCAAAATGTATCATTTAGGAAGAACTGATTTATGTCACTTGTCTCACCGGAAAAAATATAATATCTTCATATTTTGTTAACAGTAGCTTAGCTAAACTGCTTTCCTATTAAACCAAAATTCTTAAAATTGGCCAACATTCTAAGCGAGAATAACGTTCACAGTACGCTTTTCGCGCAAAAGTAAAGGTACAACAAATGTTTTAGACTTTATTCGACCGCTATAAGAATGATTTTCCCATTTAAAATATTCTACAAACATTAGGTTTATCTGAGAACACGTAACTCCATTTGTTCGATTCCCGCGTGCCAAGAAACTCCAATTCTAAGTAATAAACTATTGACCAAGGAAAACTCGTAGTTTGGAAACGTATTGACAAGGGAATATTACGGTTTTCCTCAAGAAAATCGCTACCTATTGAAATGAAGCTTTCAACGAGACGAAAAAATAGTAATGTAGTTATGTAGGTACATCTGGCATTGTTGCGAGTGTTACAATAAGTGTTTGTGCGAAAACAGTGATGGCAAGGCAAACATAATCAATACGCGTATTAATTACACGCACACCCCTCTTTCACACAGCTCTACGACCGCACCTTCCATGTAATATTACGACATGCGAATAATCCGCTTGCGAAATCCTGAAAGCGCATTCATTCTGTAACTGAAAATACCAAGTGGTTCGCAGTACTCAGATCGATTGTGAGTCTACTAGGAAAATATTCCCAATAATTAGGAGCCGCGCAGGAAGATAGCCTCCCTTCGCCGTGCATCCACGCATGCGTGTTACCGACCGGCTTCTGTCAAATCCGCGCTTGCGTAGTGAGCCGACCGCGACCGGCCTGGTTGCTGTGTGCATTGTTTGACGAACTGCATGTTTTACGAGGCCCGAGATCCTTGACCCCAGGGTCCCGGGAAATAGACCCTAGATTTTAGATCAGTCATAGTTACCATCTGCTGAGAATAAAAGGTTACTTTTTCCATGTCGCGGTGAGTCCTTAGCGTCTTGTTTTGTAAAATGTTTATTTTTTGGTTACAAATGTATTGGCTTTATGTGTCTGCTTCATATTCGTTATCGAATGATTCATGGTCAGCCATTTTTGCCCGGTGTAAGTTATGTTAATAGAGCTGGAAAGGTGGCTTGTCTCTTATCGCATACGTATTTACATAGATATTGTTGAGGTTTGGACGTATTGTAGTCGATTGATGTAGCTTGATAGCGTCTAAATGTAACATTGCTTATAACATGAAATTCTGAATATCAGACATTGTTGATTTAATTAATTATAATATCTTTTCAGCCTATTGTTATCCCACAGTCTGTATTAATAGTATGTCTATCAGTTAACATAAAAGAAAACAGCATACACAAAAACAACAGGCATTATCCAATACTATAAAACAAAAGCGGCCTTATTACAAAACTAGGTTTTTCTTCAGTCTAGGTTTAAATCTTTGAGCCAGATTTTGTTAATTGATTATTTATATAATATAATTTACTTAAATTGAAGATAAATCTTGTTTTGTAATAAGGGAAAAAATAATTTAAACCATGCCTAAATCATGTATTAGTAATGAAACTGTTTGAACCCTCAACTCTATCTTCATTGAAATGATAAATGATGTAAAAGTTATTCATTAATTCATTTTTATGTGTTGTTACAGAGGTCGTTGCGTTGCGTGATATAAGACGCGGCGCGCGGTTGTCGAGCGGTCGGTACATTTGAGAGGACAGGCCAAGCACCGCCATGTCGAACATAAATGAATTAGACAGCCTACGTCAAGAGGCGGAGACGCTAAAGAATGCGATCAGAGTAAGTATTCTCTTCTTCTTCATTATCAATAAGGTCCCTGAACTGTTGTACGTAGGCTTCTTGGCCAGACCACCACAGACGGGGCCCTATAGGGCTGATGTTCAGCCAGGGTTGCGGGACAAGCGCAGTAAAGTACCGCGGCCTCGGCCCAGAGCAGGAGAAAGAACGGGGGGTTTTTAGTCAGTAAGAGTCTGACACTCTCTCCCGTCCCACTGATGGTTATCCCCTTGTTCTGAAACTTGGAATGGTAAATGAACAAACAAAGAGTCAGACCTCTTATTGACTAAAAACCACCCTGTTCCAAACTGGGTGGTTTTCAGTCAGCTGAAGCAGCTCCTGCCTTTTCCAAGGTCACATCTTCCACGTAAAGAAGCTGGCTGCTACATTACCTACTTGATTAGGAAAAGCGAAATCCCATCAGCCTATAACAGTGCAGTTCACCTGTTGATTGATGACGTAGTTGTCCAATACACTAAGTGAAAGAAATAACATTCTTACAAGAAATACCCATAATATACTTATGAACAATGGCTATGAATTCTCATGGAATGAAATTTCTTTTACATTTTTTTATCTTAAGCCATATGGTGGTGGTGGGACACATTAGTTGTATGTGGACCTTCATATATCCACATCAGTTTTTTTTTAAAACGTGACCCCGCCGGGTTTGCGGGGTAAGCGCCGGGGTTGCGGGGTAAGCGCAATGAGGCACCGCGACCTCGGCACAGAGCAGGAGAAGGAACAGGGGGGTTTTTAGTCAGTAAGAGTCTGACACGCCCTCCTGCCCCACCCTGGGCGGGAGAAGTCATTTCATGATTTTCCTCTCACAGAAAAAAAACGCACATCAATTTGTTGATCCCACAAAGAGTTTTTCCGTGCGGGAATCTAACCCGCGAAACATTGCCCGGTAGTCAGTTGTCCAGCCACCGCGCCAACCATGTAGTCAAATTAGTACCATTAATAACCACCAATATCTTCAGGATGCGAGGAAGGCGGCCTGCGATACGTCGTTGGCGCAGGCGACGGCGAACCTCGAGCCCATCGGGCGCATACAGATGCGCACACGACGCACGCTGCGCGGACATCTCGCCAAGATCTATGCGATGCACTGGGGCAGTGACTCCAGGTAATAATATCTTGTGACTCCACTTTAATATTCATATTTTCCCCTAAAGATAGTTGTGCCATTTTCCGGTACGTAAAGGGTACCTGAAAATCAAGTCCAATCATTTTGATTCGTTCAATAATATCTTTATTTAGACAGAAGTAGAAATTCATGTCAAAATTTATATTTGAAGTTGATTTATAAACTTCAATGCATAACAACAACCTGTAAAATTTCAAATAATGGTCTGGAAGATCATATTCTTTTCTCCAATTCATTCTAAATACAATCTCTTACTAAGAAATGTAAGCGGTTCTATAATAAATCTCTTATTTGGACATCTGTGACGCTCGCACGGCGCGGCCAACAATAATAAAATGCTAAATTTATAAGCATATTATTTGTTTTGTCTCGATACTAATCTATTTCTTAAAAATAAGTCACTGGATTATTATTTAAATAGATTGTGCATTTTGATTTTTTTATATGAGATGATATTTATTGTAGGTATTTTTTAATGAAATCTGGTACACAAAAAAGTAACAGTATCTCTTTACCTTATACCTTAAATATTGTAAAGGAAGGTCCTTTTTCCTGCAATTTAAAGTTTAAAGTAGATAACATTGCATCAGAAAAGAAATAACACAAAGCAAAAGCTTGCAAATTGATTAAAATACCCTTTGAAATATATTACTTGACTAGGGGTCAAGTATATTTCAAGAGGAACAGAAACAATATCCTTAGTTTGCTTCATGACACAACTAACAACTAAAGATTATTTATTACAATACCATATTTAAAAGCTGATTCGAGTTTAATAGGTTTTCATCCATCATAACATCCTTATTAGTGTCCTTTGTGACATATAAATTGACGACACAAAAGCATTGCCCTACACTCGCAGCGAAACAATATAACAGAACAGACAATAAATTCAATATATTACTCGTGTATTACTCACTTTTCCCGATAAAACACAATATACTCATCATTTTCCCTTCAAATAAGTCTACCTTATACATATTAGAATAAGGTTCAAAACGGCTTCGATTTGGGAAACAATATTATTGAGTCATTGGCATATTAGTGTTACTATCACATTGTCGGAATGACGTCAATTGTAATGTAGAAGATCTTTAGAAGAAATCATTAACGTTTAATTGTTTATGGCCTAAGATAATCCTTTAATTGCTGTGATCGTTTCGAAGCACGAACTTTTTGGTAACTATTTCTATATTTCAATATATTGATTACTTTGTGAATGTTCCTTTGTTTCCTCTACAACGAAACCTTCAAGTTGTCTTTTTGGATCTAACCCGGATAGTCAAGGCCTTATGATTGTTAGTATAAAACTAGAGACAGATGCAAAGCTGCAACTAAATTCTCCACAACATAATGGATGTTGTTATACACATAAACCATCCTCTTCAATCATCTATCTATTAAAAATCCGCATCAAAATCCGTCGCAGTTTAAAAGAATTAAGCATATATAGGGACAGAGAAAGCGACTTTGGTCTTGTACTATGTAGTGATATGTAACTCAATCTTCAATAATGTAATATTTCAATCAGTTAATTTTCACAATGCTTCAGTCAATCAATAAATCGTTCTGATGTTTTATTTTCACTAGTAGCGGCAAAATAATTAACTCCTTGAGCTATAATTACTAGTTATCTCGAATCACGTTGTTGTGTTTTCTTTATAATTTATATCATAACAACCAGTGACGACATTACATGATGCATATCATCAATATTTGCTTAATGACACAGAAAGAAAAAGGTTTATGAACTAAAAACAAAATACTCCTTGGTCTTTGTGAGATTTGCACTCGATTTTAAGTACTACAAAGGTATATAAATTGTGTTTGTGCACAATCCTTTGCTCCTCGAAAAAACCTGTTGTTGGAAGGATATTTGATGATTAAAATCATCATTCGATTCCACTTGCGGAATGCCTTTTCTAGAGAAGAGAGATGTCATATTTTTCACTTAACAAGCAGTTTGTAGACCACAGCTTAAGAACACAAAAGAGTTTACAATCCCCGCGAGAAGTATAGGGTGATGATATGGTGATTTAAAATAAATAATAATATTTATTTCCTTTGTTTATCAGGAACTTGGTGTCTGCGAGTCAGGACGGCAAACTGATAGTGTGGGACAGCCACACGACCAACAAGGTGCATGCGATACCGCTGCGCTCTAGCTGGGTGATGACCTGCGCGTACGCACCCTCCGGCTCTTACGTCGCCTGCGGTGGATTAGACAACATATGCTCCATTTATAGGTCAGTATTTTCAATTAGAAAAGATTGAGAAAATAACATTATTTGCTAAACATTGAAACTCCCTGCGTCATCAATTTAAAGAGAAGACTGCCATACTCTCTTCTAGGCACGAGTGCATATGACGATTGTTTAATAGCAATACATATTGCATCATTTTAAATCTTAGACGAGAATGTGGATAGTAGTCAAATACTGACCATAATGACGATGCCATAGTAAGAAAAGAAAACCTTCAGTGGGTTCTCTTTTCACATTAACTCTTAGAAATAATATAGTTAAGATGACTAAGACATTAATAATGTTGTACATTTTCATGCCAAAGTATTTGACCCCAGAAGTATAAATGTAAAATATGTGCATGGCCCAGATTCGAACAATGAGCCTACAATGTCGACCTCGGTATGCTGCTGATCTACTGATAGGGGATTTACATCCTGCCCAAGAATTTGCATAGAACTGTAGAAACGGTTTTCATATAAAAAAAAATATTAGGAAGAAAGCTATTTTTTTAAGAGAAAAAGAAATAAGAGATGTATAATAAATTAATTTGTAGAAATACCGTAAAATTATGTTTGTCTGAATTATTAAGAATATTTGATTTAGAAAATAAAATGGTACTAATAATAAACCCAGGTTTGCCAAAAGAATATTTTGTATTGTGTACTTTCACTGTTAGATAACAATCATTCAAGTGAACCCAAGTGTAATTGCGAAAGATAAATTTTTGTGTCCTGTTATTCCTGAGTTACTTACTCGGGTCTTTTACTGTTAATGTTTTATCATCCGTCATTGGTAATGTATTTTTTTCAATTCTTCATTTCTAATTGTGCTGTGTGGTGTAATATTCCAGTTTGAAGACCCGCGAGGGTAACGTGCGTGTGTCCCGCGAGTTGCCCGGCCACTCGGGCTATCTCTCCTGCTGCCGGTTCCTCGACGACAACCAGATCCTCACCAGCTCTGGCGATATGACTTGGTAAGAATTTTAAATTGTTCATCATTATGTTTTTCAATTGCGTCATTTAATCACTGTGGTGTATCGGTTGGTATTTCTAACTATTACTATGGTTAATGAGTTTAAATATTAGTAGTAAATTAAATGATACCACTTTAAATGGTGTTACTAGATCTTTATGTTAGCCAAGGTTCGTTGACTACTAGCGAATATCTCAGTTCTATGGTGCACAATATTTTTGTCAAAAACTCATTGTTTAAATGTTTCGAAGTAAGAGTATCGTACCACCAAGTACAGCTTACAGTCCCCAATCTAGTGAATAGGAAGTAAAGTAGTGTGGTATGTGCGCAGCGCCCTGTGGGACATCGAGACGGGCCAGCAGTGCGGCCAGTTCACGGGGCACACGGGCGACGTCATGTCGCTGTCGCTGGCGCCCGACCAGCGCACCTTCGTCTCCGGCGCGTGCGACGCCTCCGCCAAGCTCTGGGACATCCGCGAGTGCCAGTGCAAGCAGACTTTCCCCGGGCACGAGAGCGATATCAACGCCGTCACGGTACCTATACTTATTTTTTTATTTAACACTTTATACAGGGTGTAAGGGACAGCCCTCCGCAAACTGATAGGGTGGATTCAGTATATCGTCTTAAGTTGACCGGTACATGAAATTATTTCAGGAACGTTATGGGAATCCAATTAAACCGATTTGTTTCATTACCTTACACGCAATGTATCGCTACCACCGCAAACGCACGCAGCGAACGGCAGCGCTTTTAGTATTATTACTTTACACTATGGGCAGCGCCGCGACCTTACGTTCAGACAAACGGTCGCGCTCGCGCCACGTTTTAATAACAATAAATTATTATTTAAAAGATAGCCGCATTACTTACAAAAGACAATGTAATAATCGCGCTCGCGCCACGTTTTAATAACAATAAATTATTATTTAAAAGATAGCTGCATTACTTACAAAAAAAAATCTAACAATCATAACATGGTAACTGATAAATGATAGAAAAAGAAAAATGCGTAGGTACCTTAGAATCGCTCCGATTTCCGGCTCTGGAAAGCATTTGTGATGCGGTCTCGCATTTCGTACTCACTTGCACACGCACTCACAAACACTTTTTCTTTTACGTAACCCCACAAAAAGGGGTCCAAATGGGTTAGGTCTGGGGATCGTGCTGGCCACGGTTGCGGTCCAAACCTACCTAAACTACGTTTAAATAGGAAAGCACTGGTAAGTGGTAGCGTCTCGTTACGTTAGCGAACCAATTCCAAAATCCACGTAGGTATTGGTCTTCCGGCGCCTTTTTGTCTGGGAACAATGGGCTGGTTTTCTAGCAAGCGTTGATAGTCACCAGTAATTATCCTGGAGTCTGATGGATGGCGACGGTCAGGATACCTACACTACTACAACACATTATCATCTCCCCATAATCACGCGCGCTAAACGTACCTAGGTAGTAATTTCGCACAATTTCTACAACAAAACTTCACTACACTTCACACACTACATAACTAATAAAACTTAACAACACTACTTATAACAAAACTTTTAAGCCGAATGCGCGAGCGATCCGTGCCGACACACGCTCGCGGTACACAAACAATAACATCGCAGCAAGGCACAATGGCGACTGCATGTGATGAGACACACACAAACATAAATCTGTTGTTGCCAATTACACGAAAACTACAAAATTTCGGGGTAAAAAATAAAAAAATATGCATGGTCGTAATTTATCATTCTGTTATTTTTTGTAGAGAAATGAATTGATTAAATCAATTTAATTCTAATTTCATTGTTTAGTTAATTTAGAATAATAAAAGTGCAGTGTGATAGAAAGCTGTGCTTCCATTCCAGGGAGATTGTGTTTAATTTCTGGCTCGACTATCAATTCATGGCTATTGTGAAGCCATGTAAAAATCTGTAAGTAGTTTAAAAACTAGCCAGTAATCGCTTATAAAGAACAATCAATTCATAAATTAGGTAGTATTTGTAAATGCTTTAAAATTAAAACTAGACTAATCTTTATTTATTTCTTATTCAATTTATGTGCGCGACAAGATTTTCACAAAGCAAAGGAGTTCTCAAGTTTTAGATAAATTTCGCTAGTTCTAACATTTTCGTTTACTACGTGAGGTAACAAAAGTTAAAAATTGGCAACACTGGTTCAATCGGGCAAACATTGTGCAAAGAATCGGGGAGACGGGGAGACGCGGAGGCGGGGCGATAGAAAGGGACGCAGCTATTCTGTACGTTGGACGGGATCGTAGGTATTATACCTACGGCGCGCGGCGCGGCGATCGGCGCGGTGGGGCGCCGAGCCGCTGCGCCGTGACCGCGGTGCGGTGAGTTCAAACGACTCGCGCTAGGTAGAAATTGAACAGCTGATTTCATGCGTAGTTCTTTAGAGAATTCACACAACCATTGCGTATTTTTTTGTTTTAGCTGTGTTATTTACATTAATGTTATTCTTCATACATAAAATGTAATTATACATTGAAATAGAGATTTAGGAACTGAAAAAACGAAAAAAAAATTGAAAATTTTCCTGAAAGAATTTTCACTGGAATATGATTCAGAATAAGGAGCTGAATGCACCCTGTTAATTTGTGGAGGGCTGTCCCTTACACCCTGTATACATTCTTAATACAAAGGCGGACTAATTCCCAAAGGCATTCTCTACTAATTAACCGCAAGAGTGATGCAAAGTGTTAACAACCACACAAATTATTAATAAGCATAGGTACACAAGTATATTATTATATGCAACATACACATTTAAGACTTAAATATGTAATGAATTAGTTTTAAATAATATTCCGACTAATAGTGTAGTTGGAAAGAAATTTTGTCTTTCCTTAGGGAAAAGTTGGAGACAATCATAACCCTTGTTAATTATTAATTACAGTAATCACATGTGTAAATGTAATTTCCAGTTCTTCCCATCTGGGTTTGCGTTCGCGACCGGTTCTGACGACGCGACGTGCCGCATGTTCGACATCCGCGCGGACCAGGAGCTGGCCATGTACTCGCACGACAACATCATCTGCGGCATCACGTCCGTCGCCTTCAGCAAGTCCGGCAGGCTGCTACTCGCCGGCTACGACGACTTCAACTGCAACGTCTGGGACTCCATGAAGAGCGAGCGCGCTGGTAAGCACCTCATTATATATACAACTATCATCCGCCCGCGGCTTCGGCCCACCTGGTATGTTGATAAAAAGTCTGTGTTAGTTCAGGGAATCAAATTTCAACCAGATCAGTTTCGCGTGAAAAAATAAATATAAATCCATACATTCTTACAAACTGTCACATTTGTAACATTAGTATGAGACGTAAAGCTATCAGCAACACCAGATAATTAATAAGGGTGTTTCCAGTCTTTGTAAAAAGATTATGCTCCTTACTTGAAGGTTTTCATGTGACAGCAATACAGGGAAAAGCAATAGAACGGACTCATCCTTTACGCATCTTTTCTTAAAGAAACATTTTTAAAATATACACACTAAATGATACAAATAATTATAATATCCCTCTTGTTTGTGTGATTACATAACAAACATAATATTGTGACATCATTACATGAGATAATAGGTGCTGTTTTATAATTGTTATGTCAGGTTTCAACTCATATATTTAGTCACTTCAAGAATAGAACATTCTGGAATGTGTAGATCATTCTGGAAGTAACTAGTTGTTAGTATTTCTTCTTCAATGATTAAGTTTTGTATTTTTGTTCTCTCAGGTATCCTGGCTGGACACGACAACCGCGTGTCTTGCCTGGGCGTGACCGAGAACGGCATGGCCGTGGCCACCGGCTCCTGGGACTCGTTCCTCCGCATCTGGAACTAAGCTCCTCCCCCCCGCACCCCTCCCGCACCCCCACCCTCTGCACCGCACCCTCTGCCGTCAACTTGTAACTACGTGTGATTACAAACAGCCTCGCTAGCTGGGTAGAGAACGGACCAACATTACTTCTAGAGCCTAGAGTCTAGAGCATCTCTCTTCCAAGTCCTCGTTGATCCCCGTCGCTCTACCCAACCAGCGAGGCCCAGTTTACATGTGCGGATGGAACTTGAATGATAAGTTGATGGCTAGCCCCAGTTCAACCGGTGACGTCAGTTTCTAGTTTTATATTCGATATCAAGCGGTGTGTGAATGTGTTAGCTTCTAATTTTGATATCTTGCTGACGATAGTCCATGTATTTCTTCATTCGGTTCGACTATCGCAGACATTGGGTTAGCTCAATGAGTAACGAAATTCGACTTTGACAGACCTGAGTATCATTGGTCTTTATATTCTAAAGGGGCGGCTGTTTACCTAAACCTGTATAAAGTCCAGTCATCTTGTAGTTCATTGTCATTACGTAAATAATTTCTGATTCGAGGCACAAATGACTTGGTGTATATAATGTCGTATTGTGTTGTAAACTTTAATTATTCTGTATATCGGACGTATGCGCACAACGAGCACAGACATACGACACGAGTCGCCGCGTCACGGGACTGCTCCCGTATATAAAACTCGCTTTATTTATTTATAATTATAATTTCTAACAATATTAAAAGCATTTAAACAACTTTTTAGGGAGGAATGTAGTTTACATGTATGTGTGAGTGCGCTGTCAGTGTGCGTGTGTGAGCGTCATTACTGATCCATTGTTCACAGCATAACGTATATTATTATGTATAATTATAATGATGTAATGATATAATTAACGATAGACGCTGGTGACCTTTCCGCGGAGGGGTTCAAGGCTGCCGGAATCATTTTCTGTTTATTGGTAAGTAGATTCTATGTTTAAAATGGCTTCGTAACAATTTCAAGTCATTTATTGATGATTGAACTAAAATGCGGGATTATGAAAGTTTGCTAAACTGCTAGAGAATATAATGATAGCTTAAGAAAGAAATTTAATTAATTCTTGAGTGCGTAGCTTTGTGATTGTCATGTACGTTGTTGCAAAAGTATTTGAACTGCCGACATTTCAAATCATCTTAAACACTGTCAAGTTTCATAGCACTGTAGCATTTGTAAAATGGCGTGTATCCGGCAGTTGGTAGTCGGTGTATTTTCTTCTATTCTTTTATACTTGTTACTGTTAATTTAGCGGTAATTTTATTATGAATCACTTACATTATTTCTAATGATATTTTATCGCTAAAGTAACAGGAATAAGACCGAAAGAGCCATAAGTTACGTTTTAATAATTATTATTATTATTGTAAATTAGTAAATGTTAGTTTGGCACGTTTATATATGACACGCTACTCTTTGGGTTTCAGGTGACAACATCGCACAACAGAATATTATACAATCTATAAAAAAACTATAATTAAAGAACCAAATATTAATTATAAATGTATCTATGCATAACTTATTGAATGAGAACATTGTTTTCGTTTCTCGTCACTTTGATGTAATCCTAACGTGGTTGAGCTACTATATATTTAATATATGTTTTAGATTAGTCAACACACCGGTTTCTTATAAGTATGAGATTGTACCGATCTCCATTGACGAATGAAAATCATTTTTTGTACCTACATAAGGACGTTGACACACGAATTTGCCGCGAAACCTGCGCTTGCGCACGTGATCCACCTATACTGCGATAATCCACCACGATCATAGAATTCCTGTGTCAATGCCCTTACATTGACGTTCACGAATAATTGTAAAATGAGATCTAAATCTTAATCTAGGCTTTAAGCGTACAATTACAATGATTTATACTTTGACATGCAATATAATTTATCTATATCCAATATAATTTCGTATCATTATCCCTTGTTTGCACAGGCATAGGGTGCATTTTGGAATGATGCTAACGTCCGTTTTGCGTAGCTTTGTGTCGTGTACAATGGTGGCCGGTATGACTTTACAAAATATCGTGAATATAAAGGAAGAGGCCTCATTCCATTATGTGTCCGAGTTTTCACCAAACGACATAAATTGACTTCGTTCAGCCACTGAACTAAGTCATTACTAAGATTCCATACAAAGCGCATACCAATGCGCGCAACACCGTGAAATAAATGCATTTCTTCTCTCTCCATTCCTTATTTGGCATAGTGATTTTTTTCTTATGTAAAAATTGTTTTTTAAAACTTAACAGTTCTGCAGTGATGAACCAACACTGAGTCAGGCTGTTTGCATTGTTTACCGTCATTTAATAATTACTATTTAAATAAATATTCGCGAACCTATGATAAAATCATCAGTTTATTTGCGCGAGACTAACATTTGACACTGGGGAAGTCTAAAAAAATTAGTGATTATTACTAAATTTATAAAGATATTAATGTTAAAAACACGTTTATAAAAAACAGTGTAATTCTAGTCGCAAGATGTATTACGGACGGGAAAGTTTAACTTGGGAGATTTGTCTATAGTTGTGTGATTTTTTGATCTTTTAAAAAGTAAGATATAATGCCAAAATGGCGTATTTATTATTATTGTTAGGTCTCGCGTAAACAAGCAATTAATTCACATTATCGTACGCACTATTTTATATGTTTATACCGCTTTCACTATGATTAAACGTTGAATCGTTTTTGGTATACATTTTATTCAAACTGCTCAGGAATATACATAAAACTTGTAAGCAGGCTCATGATTATTGGTTTTAAGATTATATTCCAACTTGGAGCGATGAATAAAATGTGTAGTAAAAATGCTTTTAACAACTCATGATAGTACTTAGTCCATCTTCAATTTTGAGACATTTAAAACCTTGAAATATTTTCAATCATAGATGGTTAATTTTAAACTAAGCATAAACGGTAGCGTTTTTAATGTCATGTAAGGGTTACCATGTTTAATGTTTCGTACAAGATTCTCTCGTATTCACACGCAGACATAAGATGTTATCCCTTAACAGTCATAATGATGGGCGAAGCAACATCAACCGTCGTCCCATAAAGTTCATTTTACTAGACTAAGCTAGCTTTAGGTACGTAAGAATTAATATACATGAATAAAAAATAGGCATTTGTATTTCGAACATTCTGTGTTGCTAACTGCAATAAAATGGATGCCAATATTTTTCTTTGTAACACTTAGTTTATATTCGTTGCAGTATTTGTTGGGATTTTAAGCACAAAATATTTTATAATTATTGTTTGTCGGCTTTTTTAATTATACAATCGATGGATGGTTGTCGCGCTATTGTTTTATTTTTATTTTTTGTTTAAATTAAGCCTTTTTGTCTTAGATAGGTTATAATATAGATGTTTGTATTAGGCAGACGAAGTCGGAAAAGAGCGACATTCAGGGCTAATGTATTTTTTTTAAGAAAACAAAATATAATCAATTTCATTTCTATAGTTTGTCGTGCTCAATTATCATAATATTTATATTGCACAAAGGCGGCGCAAAACTGTAAACAATTTGAATATTTTTTACAATATAAACTCAAAGACAAACAGGTGAATGTAATGAATAAAAATGGCATATCAATCAATTTGTCCGCCATTTTGTATCGCAGAATAATCATCGAGGTATAATGTTATTGTGTGTGAATTATTATGTTGATTAAACACGTTTTGAGAATATCTATGTTCACGCATGCATCTATTTGTCTATACGTAAGGTAATTTTGCATTATGGGAATTATTTGTCCAACGAACGAACATGGCCGCGAACGTTTGGCGGGAACTCAACCGAGGCAAAGGCGACGATCGCATTCGGCCAGACACCTGCAGTTGGACAAATAAGTAGGATGTATTCTGAAGTTAGCTCCGGTCTGCTAGTTTTACGCCTAGGATAAGACTCTTTTTTAAATAATAATAAAAAAAATGTTTTCTACTGTAACGGCTTCTTTTCAGATCGATGTACGATAAGTATAATATAGCATTATATGATATGTATGATATTTAATGGATAGTTTTGATGGCTCATATTCTGTTTTTTGTCTATTCAGACCAATTTTTCTCACTTTTACATCATATTATTGGAATGGACTGCCATATTTTAACCTGTAAACTATAAATATACTTAAACGAGGGAAACAGATGGTATGGTTATCAGGGATTGTGATGCCTAATGGGTGCGAGTACCGCCGAGTTGCCCGAGATCCTCGAATTTGTTTAAAGAGCCGGAGTGTCCCTGGAATTGTATATCATATTCCTTTGGAACTTAAGGATTCGTATACCTTAGTTAACTTTTATTTGCTAGTCCGCGTCTTTAATATGTTTAATGAAAATAATTATTCTTAGTGGTATAATACTAATTATAATGTATTGTGTAAAATATTTTTTTTAGTTATTATATCAATAAATTAAAATTTGTTTATTTTAATTGCCTCTTTTATTTTACTGTTTCATTTATAAATGTAATTAGCCCGCCGACTTCTAAATGCTCAATACAACATGTTATTTTAATATTTATCCTATTTGTATTCCGCTAGTAATTTAAGGACATTTTGAATTATGTATAACGAAGAAATGTTGAAGACTTAATGAAACCTTTATTTTCAAATGATTCTCAACTTACAATACATTCGTATAAGGTTCAAAGATGGATGTAATGTTGAAATATTAATGATGATGCTCAATAGTCACTCAAAACCACAGAGTTGTAACCTACTGTTGCAGTTATCATACTTAGTCATTCAGGTAACCCCAGGGTCAATCTATAGCCGTTTGATTCTCTCAATCAGACTGCTAAGTTGAAGGATGAAGGGATTGTCACGAAAACAGAGTTGTTGGGGACAAAGCCACCCCGTATCTTCTGCTCCAGAAAGTCGGGGCTACTTATCGCTCTTGTACCAAAATGTTCTGTGGTGTAATAATTAACAAGTACGGCCGTTTCTTGAATAACCTTTTAGGCTAGGTTGGCTGCGCCGTATGTACAACTAGATTCCAGATACCTACTAATTTAGCAAGTAATATTTTATTGTTTTTTGAAGCGGATGTGATAAACTCGGCATCACAGACGAAAAATATGATATGTTGGGATTCCAACTTAAGCTTACGATCAACTTTTTTAAAATAACAGCTGCGTATTATAACGACGTGAAGGGTATACGGATATATCATTATAAATTATGATTGTCACTGTTAGCAGTAATAAAAAAAATACTGCTAACAGTGAAAGACTAGATAGATGTGGATTATATGAACGGTGACTGATGACAGCACGTTTGGCACAGTGGCAGGGCAACTGGCTGCTGTGCAACATGTCGCGGGTTCGATTCCTTCCCGCACGGAACAACGCTTTTGCGATGTACATAATGTTGTTTCGGATCTGGGTGGCTTGTGTATGTACATTAGGGCTGATTTTTCATTGGTTAGATAAAAGTAACCTGGGGAATAATAATTATGCCGTCGCATCAGAATGTTTGTAAAAGACAGTGACAGCAACAATTTTATTCCTCAGATAACATTTATCTGACTATTGAAAAATCAGCCCTAGAAATATGTTTGTAAACGCACAACGCACCCACGATATACTAGAAAATGTGTGGAGCAACGTTTTATTAAAAAACACAGTTCTTGCATACACATCCACTCTATGTCGCAAGCCCAGGCTGTAAACAACCCAAGTTCCTTAAGTCCAAATCAATTGTATAATTTATTCCTGGGGCTGGATTCAAAAAACGACTCACAAATACATATTTCTATAAAGCGAACATTTTTGGTCCACCTTGGCACTGAGCCTTCTGCAGTTTTTTCTGTTGACTGTATTCTGC